ACCTCATGGCCATTTTCTGTTATCTACTCCCCACTCCCCTTGCTCTATGCCAGATTTTCCTCCCATATAACTAGCCCATCCCCTAAATATCATCCCCATGAGAGTTCAAATTTAAAGTCAACTTATATGATCTGCTCCAGTGCTAAAGGATCATACAGAGAGAAATATCTATGGCTCTTCTTTTCCTCCAGGAAACGAGCACACTCTACACAGGAGCCTTTTATACAGTATTCATTTGTTAGCTCAGAGAAGATGTTCTGCTGCTGGAAATTTCAAAAAAATAATGTTTTAGGATAGACAGGTCAGTGATTCCTGAGTTACACTATTTCTTCAGTCCTCCCCACCTCATCATTGTCATAGTTGGCCAGGATTTGGGTCATAGATGATACATCTTACTATCCAAATGATCCCAACTAGAATATCAAGAGAAACTATGAATAGAGTTATTCAGTTTCACAGAAATAAAATACGTAGTTTTGAAATTGGAAAATAGTTTAGGCTTCAAGGTAGATCTAATGAATATGCTATCTTAGAGTCTTAAAGGGCAAAAATCTATTCATTCTCTATCATATTGTTATGTCTCAATGTCCTCATAAAGCCTCCTGCAGTCATAAGGTAACTTCTAGAGCTTGTAACTGATTCGAGGTCCAATGCTGGGATGATGGGTGTGAGTGCTATACCTCCCTGGGGGAGGGAGCCTGCATACAATATAAGGGAGGGAAAGAGTCTGATTTCTCCTCTTTCTCCTCCTCCTCCTCCTCCTCCTCCTCCTCCTCCTCCTCTTCCTTCTCCTCCTCCTCCCTTTTTACTCTTGCTGCTTTTGCTATCTTCCACCACTGTGAACTGTTGTTCCTCTGCCATGCCACCCTGCCTTGGTGTCAGTTGATTATGAACTGAAGCCTCCACAAACTGCGAGCTAAATAAAACTTTCCTTCCTTAATTTTGGGCATTTGGTACTTTGTCTCAGCAACGAGAAAAAAGTAACCAAGACAACCACCTTCCTCTGATTTGTACTTGCTGATGCTACCAGCCAACCAACACTCCTCCTCTGTCCTCTGCAAGCGTTTTGATTTCTGCTAACACAACTTTGCTTATTCGTAACTTCTCCCTACTTGTAATTCCTACACATGGTCCCAACTGTTTCATAGTCCTTGCATGAGTGTTTTTAGTGTCTGCTTTGGTTTCTAATTGATGAAACAGAAACTGTAATGTTTCTGTTTCAAATGCCTTTAAAGCAGAAGGTATCTGGATCTATTAGTGAGATTTCTGCTTGTTCAAATCGAGCCTTCTCCAGGCATTGGTAAGTACCCTAAATTGCCACCAATTCATATAAATGTCTGATTTAAGCAAAAAGGGAATTTATTGAAATGATCAGAGATGTCCAGAAAATAGAGACAAAAGGAGGCAAAGCAGGCAGAATCACATCCAAATGAGAACATGGCATTAGTTGAGTAAGGACTCTGTTGCCATCACTAGACCGTGGGCACCATAATCTGTAACTGATCCCTGTACACTGAAAGCCAGACATCACTGCTTGCCCCTTACCCCTGCTGGTCTCAGAAAACAGGCATTGCTGCAACTACTGCCACAAAGAGTCCTCCCCATTTTAGCTTCCTTGTGCAATTACCTCTTGATTCCAGGGTTAAGGAAGGTATATTTGATTGGCTAGGTCTAGATCATGTGCTCTCACCCAGCTGCAGTATGGGGTGCAGTGGGTAGGGTAGGAAAGAGTACCTGTTCTTTGGGACTTCCTCAGTGGGAAATGGGGTCTGCCTGCCATTGGGTGTACAACAAGAAAAAAATACAGTAAGAGGGCTGGATCATGGGAAGCTAAGAAAAATGCAGAACCTGTTATACTCAGGCCCTTCCATTGCAAGCCCAGCCCGAGCCAGTGAACTATGCTAAGAAGAGCAGAATGTGATTGCTGACTTAGTGGGAACCTTAGCCAGGGTGAGAGTCTTAGCTGACTGATGAAAGATAGTGTGATAAGCAAAGAAGCACAGATTTGTTTCCTGCGCCCTATTCACTTAAAGACACATGAGGCACAGTTAATCAAAGTCTGTATTTATACACACATCTGTCTTCCTGGTTGGACTGCAAGCATTTTAGTGCAGAAACTTCATCTCACTTATTTACCCAGTGCCCAGGGCATTCCTCAGTGGTATATAGTACATACTTCAAAAATGTCTGTTACATTATAAATAAATAAATAAGCTTTGCTTTCCCTAAATAAAATAAACTGGCTCAATCCTTTACTTCTTTGAAGGCAATAAAGGAGTTCTATGGCAGTTTCTAGAAAGGCATTGTTAATGCATTTACCCCAATGAAATAAAGAGGAAGAAGAGCTTACAAAGACTCCAGAATACACTGACATCTTTTTTCTATGCTGAGTTTGAGTGACCACCTTTCTTTTTCTTTTCCTTTTCTTAGAATTGTCCTTAAACAAATATTACAAAAGTTGGCCTTGTTGACTTTGGCAACTCCCTGGCCTAACATCACCAGAGTTTACTTACTGTCACAGCTGGTGAGCTAGACCAACCTGGCCCAAAAACAAAAGGTTTGCAAAACCCTTAGTATTAACCGTGGTGAGTTGAAATGTCTCTCCTCAAAATATATGTCCTCCTAGAGCTTATGAGTGTAGCTTTATTTAAGAAAAAGATCTTTGCAGATATAATTAAGAATCTCAAAATGAAATCATGCTGGCTTAAAGTGAGCCTTAAAGCTAACAGAGAGGCTGGGGAGATGGCTCAGTAGAATAAGTGCTTGCCTGGCAAGTGCAAGGGCATAAGTTCAATCTCTGGTTCTGAAAAAAAAAAATCAAAAGATATACAGCTACTTTCTCTTAATTCAATGAATAGAAAGATTTGTTCTAATAGTGTTTGTGGACAGGATATCATGTCTGCATCTTGTACTATGAATAACCACTAAGAAGACAACAATATGCAGTGTATTAATTATTGAAACTGCCCTACTAATCGGTTTTTAAACTGTCTTATTGCTATTTGTTTCTCAATAAAATTATTTTTTTAAAAAAGCTAATGGAAATGTGCTTAAAAGAGAGGGGAAGAAAAAAGGGCTTGCCAAAGATATTCTCAGGTGCTCTTGAAGCTCCAAAAGGAACCAAGTAACATTTTTGAGGCTCCAAAAAGACCAAGTGTCATTTTCATTTCTGTTGTTTTAACCCACCCAGCACTGGCTTAAGTGGCCATTTGTTACAGAAGCCCTGAGAAATGAGTACACTCACAAAGTTCAGGAAATGTCAAGGAAAACCTTACAGAGTAGACAAAGAAAGACAAAGAGGAAAACTGCTTGTGCCAGGATGAATTAAAAAGTCTGCCAGGCAATAGAGAATTGTCTCACACTTGAAGACATCTTCGACTTTTCTCACTGGACAAACCACATTAGAATCATGTGGAGTCTGAATGAACCTGTGGGCAGGAGTCTTAAGCACAGAGAGGACACTTAGCTCAAAGGTCAACAGATTTAACTGTGTTGTTAGGCTTTCCAGGGTTCTCCTAGTGAAGTGTGAGAATAGTCAGTCATATTTGACATGGTTTCAGGTGGCTAGAGGACTTACACTGCAATGCAAGTGGTACCTATTGAGCCCATCATTTCATGGTTACTGTGGTTTGTGGCAAGGTTAAGTAAGAATACAAGGTAGAATTTATTAAGTGCACAAAACATGGGTAGGTGGACAGATGTAACAAAACTCATGGGAGCTGCACAAACGAGGCTCAGAATGAAAATGCAAAGGAGTTGGGGGAAAACAGTTCTCTGTCTACCTTACAGAATAGCTCATGTCTCCCTTCTGTGCTTGACATCAGACACGGAAAGATGCCTGTAGAAAAGATTCACATGACTCCTAACGGCCCTGGAGAAGGAAGTGGGGAGAAGGCCTTCACTTACCTAGGCGCCTCGGCTTCAAGCCAGATGCCCCTGCCTGTGTCTACCTGAACAACACTTGAACACGGACACAGGTAACAAGGCCCTAGCATGTGGACCCGGGGAAGTGGCAGGGTGTGTGCAACTGTCCCTTGAGACTGCAGCAGAGCACTTCTGAATTGATTTGCTCTCCCAACCCACCGGCAGACGCGTCTCAGGGTGAAGACCAAAGAGCCGGGTGGAGCTCAAGGAGAAAATAGCGACACCGATGCTCTCCAGAGACTCAGCCCTTTGCAAGCCACACAACCACCAAGATTGTCAAATGTCAGAGTGAAAGAGACCTCGGACATCAAATAAGCCAGACCTCTTACCAGAGCTGCAAAAATAGAATAGAGATCTTGAGAGGAAGGTCACAATCTGACTAGTAACGAAAGGGAGACATCTCAATTAAAGGTACCTTTCCCAGAGTGCCTTTATGACAGAGGGCTCTCTTTGTGCCAGTTACCCACGGGGACTTTCATGATCGGCAGTCAGAGCCACTGCAATCCTATTCATTCGTCTGATGACTTGGTAAAGGATTCGGAGGCTAGCATGAATGAGGAAGACTGGAGGCGGAGGGCCCTCGCAGCTCAGTCAGAGCCAGGTACGTGGCGATGGCACCATTGGGTCGTTGTTCAGGGCTGGCCAGAGTAGGGCCCATAGAAGAAATAGGAAGAACTTGGCCAGAGGTACATGTTTCCGCCTACAGAGAAGCCTTTGTGTCCCAAAGCAAGTGCATGAGCACCTCGCATACCCACGTAAAAGTTAACCACACCTGCCTTCCCCAGATGGGGCTCCCTGCGCAAACGCCTCCTCAACCTCCAGGATTTTCCAACGGTGGCGCAAGCTCCTCCCGCGCCGGAGCGGGGTGTTGTCCTGGCGCCGAGCGCCCGCGCCAGCAGCGGCTGGGGGGCGGTGAGGAGGGGGCCCCGCTGGCGGCCATTGGTTGTGCGGCCCGAGGGGCGGAGGCACCGCGCGGGCTGGGCAGAGCTGGCAGCCCCGGTCCGGCCCGCTGCGCCTGCTGCTGGGCGCGCTGGCCAGCGCCGCGCCCCTAAGCCCTGCGTTCCTGAGGACCTGCACGCATCGCGGAGGCAGGGTCGCCACAACACTCACAGCTCCGGAGGTTGGCCGAGGTGGTCACACATTCAGACCTGCAGGTCAGTGAGGGGCTCCCGACCATGCCAGCGATTCGAGGAGAGGAGTCGGGAGCCAAGGCGCACGGGATGCTGCGAGCGCCTGAGTGGGCTCGCCCTGTGCACGGAGCTCCCCCACTCCTCCTCTGGGGTGGTCTTGGGTCCCCTGGGCTTCGGAGCCTCGTTCCACACTCTCCCCGGGCTTCTTGCTATAGAAACCCCGGCCCACCCACCTATCCTCGCAGTGGGCTGCTTTCTCAGGGTCCCGGAGCAGCCTCTGGCAGTTCAGCACGCAAGGGCTTAGGAAGACTCCGGCTACAGCCGGACCTCGTGGGACCCAGCGCGCAGTGTCCTTGGCCCCGTTCCTTTTCCCCAGGAACAGGCAGCCAGAAAGGTCTGCTCTGGTGTCCGCAGTTGCGAAGCTTGATTCTCCGTGCAAGAGCAAACAGTTCTACACTTCGCAGTATGCTTCTAGGCGCTTTTTGTTTGGTTTTTGTGATAGGGTGTGATCATTCTTGTGTTTGTTTTGTGCTTCTGTGAATTTCTAGGCTCATCTGTCCCTTACTGGCCACTCACACACTGACGGCCTTTGCTCCCTGCCATGTTCCAGTGACTCTTTTTGCCTGTCTTCTGGTGGCTTCAGTTCTCGAGAAGTTTTTCCTGGCGCAGAGCACGCGTTCCTTGGTAGTGTTTTCCTGTATTCCCTGCAAACCCAGTAAGTAATCGCCTCGGCGACCTTTCGTCTTTCCCAGGTCTGATGAGACACTGGAATTCTGTGTTTCCCAGGCAAGACTCGAGGATTATAGGCAAATGACTTGAGATCTTATTAAGAGGGACGCGTAATGTGCTGTCCTCTAGGGTGCAGAAAGACCCGTTCATTCACAGAAACATCTTGTTAAGAACCAGGTGTGGGGACTGTGAATGAGCTCTTACTGCCACCAGCCACCAAATGCCGGGTCCCTGTGGGTGCTGGGATTTAGCGTTGGGCCCCAGAGACTGGGTCTGTTTCTTACTGTCCTCCATTTCCTCTGCCTGTTCATTTTTCTTTGGTTTTTTTGTTTTGTTTTGTTTTGTCTTTTGTCTTGTTTTGTTTTGTTTTGTTTTGTTTTGCTTTGCTTTGCTTTCCTAAAGTGAGATCTGAGTTTATGTCTGTCTGTCTGTTTGCTATAGATCATGAGATGCAATGGCCAGAGGACATCTCAAAGCCATTGCATTAGGTAAGGTCCTTAACACAGGTGCAGAAGGCAGGGAAATGGGCAGTGGGACTGTGCTGCGGCCCATCCTGGGACCACTCCTGAAGATGTTTCTCTGGGACCTTTCACTTTAGATTTCCCATATTTGTTGTTCCGATGGTAGCCTTTCTAGAGAAAAGAGGCTAGATAAGTGACAATCGTTTCAAAGAAGCTTTGCTTACTTCTATACATCCTCCTTTAAAATATTAAAAAGGCAATACTGTATTTCATTTGCTTAGTTATGCAGCTAGTAGGGTTGTTTTATCTTGTTTGTGAGACAGCATACAGAGGATCTTAAATATCTTTTTGTGATGAAATATACTTTTGCTGAGCAGAGAACATCATTTCCCTACAACCACCACACACAGGTCACCCTTTACATGCAGGGCTAGTTGTTTATCTCTCATGCAGATGGCTTTTTGGAGTGCATGAGAGTGAAGTGCCTTGTCACCAGTGACACTGACACTTCCTCCAGCCGTATCCTAGTCACCTTCAAATGCTGGGCACAGTGAGGATGGCCAGCCATCTACTAACCTCAGAACTGTGCAGGGAATGCTGAGTTCTAGTAAGTTGGTTGGGTATTCCCTTTTTGTGATTTGAGTTTGAGGAACATATTAATTTATCATTCTTTATGTCTGTACATAAAACAAAGTACATCAAAAGGCTCAATACACATTTAAAGTTGCCACTGAAGAAGTCTCATGCTAAGGCCAATTCTGTTTTCCTCTGCTAATAATTAATTCAGTTCACTAAATGCTACTTGATGTTTCTGATACCCATTAGCACTTCAGGGGTTAAGAGATAAATAATGAGGTGGTTATGTATGGTAATGAATCAACCAGAGGACTTATTTACAGGATCTTGAATTTCTTTTTTTTTCTTATCTTTTATTAATGAGGGCAGATGAAGGATGGCAGAGTTGATTGGTAAACATGATTAATCATACAAGTCATTATGTAGACTTGAAATCATACATTCATTATAAGAATGAAAAATTAACCCATTGCAGGCAAAATTCTCTGATTTGGCATCTGTTCTAGATCAAGGCTAAAGTAATTTGATGATACTTCTCTATGGGATTACTCCTCTCCCTCCACTTGTTTGTCTTTGAATATTCATTTCTATATAATGATTTTTATATTTACTTAGTTATTAGGGAGATTTTTCACAAATGTGGAGCATGTTGTCTTATTATATTACTATAGTAATATAAAGTGTCATAAGCCTATTTGTGTAGACATTTATTACTGTTCCTAATGATAGGCAAAAGAAAAATAACAAAGCCACTAGTTAATGGCCTAGGGAATACAACAAAGAAGCTCAAGATGTACGTGTCTGAGTTGGCGGCATTCCTAACACTTCTACCTACAGGACTCAAGCCAGAGGTTCAAGTGAAGAAGTCCTTGGTGTATGTGCGTGGCTCGGCCTTTGACTTGAATTCAGGAAATCTATCTGGACACTCAGTGGTCGTTTCACATGTGAGATGACAGCCCACTGAGCCACATTCTGTGCTTGCCTCAGCCCTGATTCTGACCTTTGGGGTATGTCCTGAGCAGCTCAGGCTCCAGACAAAGAATGTCTTCTTCAGGAGTTGCTTATAAATATGGCCACACTCATGTTCACATTTGAAACCAAGAAAAGGCTTTATTGATCTTTGATTAAGTTTTGGTAATGAACAAGACTGAGGAAAGAGAAATCCTGAGATTTCAACTAGCCATATACAGTTTAACAGCATCTGTGACCAAAAAGTGGCCCAGTTCAGCCAAAACAGTGCCAGCCTTTCCAAGCTCCACAGTCACATCAGAAACGTGATCATCATTAACATCTAATCAGATACTAACTTTTAAATTCCAATCTATTAAACTAAGAAGGGAAATTATTCAGTACAATTTAGCAATTTATGCTATGGGTTTAGTTGTTGATGCTGGTCTTGTTATTGACAATAGTGAAACGATATGGAAAATATAGGCTGACAGTAGTTACAGGGATATGTAAGATGACAGAACTGAACTTTAACTTCTTCTGGGAAACAGAAGTACATATGTCTGAAAACATTGGTTTCAAATTCAGAAAGACAAGATGCCTTAACCCATGGTTAAAGCACCAACTCCCTTCATTCAACATGTGGAGTCACTCCCCAGAAGAAGCCAAAACCACAGCTTTCCTAATTAGTTATCACGGTAATCTTATAATGATTAGAAGTATCTGATAATATACTTCTAATAATCTATCAATTATTGCAAAGGTTATGTTCTTATTCCTTTTAAGTTCCTTTGTGACCAGGATTGTAACAGAGGATGTACTCCTTTCCTTTCTTAAATAACATGGTTATAGCTTTAACTCAAATACAATTCAGCTCTACTGGGAAGGCTTTCAGACCTCAGCCTAAGAGTCTTAAACTTTGAAAGAAATGGTCCAGATGAAGCATTTCAAAGGTTTGTGTTAAATGCAGGTGTACTGAGTAGAAAGAGCAAGAGGGGGTCAAAAAGGGATAGAAGAAGAAAGAAGGGAGGAGAGGGAGAGAAAAAATTGAGTTCTGAAGTTATAAACTGGCAGCATTTTCACTGTGCATGCTGCAGTTAAAATTTTATTTCATTAGGAAAGTGCCTTTTTATTTTTTCTATAAAACAACATGTTCTTTATATCAAAGTTCAAATACAACATGCACAAAGTAGAATATTAACACATCCACCTGGCTACCTGCTAACAGAAACATATATTAGCATCTTGGTGCATAACCTCCCATTTTGTTTTTGAATCTAAAGTTGTGTGTAGCAGGAACAGTAGTATTTGTTTTACAAAAATGGAATCATATTAAATCTAAAATTTATTTTCTTGACTTAGCTATTCATAACCATCATCTTTCTAGGTTTTCTAACATGAAATCCTTTTCATTTTCATCAGAATACTGCATTGTATGATTCCTCCATCACTTAGTTAACCAACCCTTACCTCATGGACATTTTTATTATTATATTAATATTGTAACATAAATCTTTATAAGTCTAATTTTATAGATATTTATTATTTATCATAATGACAGAAAGATAAAAATAAAGCATATTAGTTAACGGTGTAGAGAATATGACAAAGAAGCTCAAGCTGTAGAGCGCATGCATGACAGGATTGCTTTTAGCCAACATTCCAACCTCCAGGATTCAAGCCAGAAGTTTAGATGAAGAAGCACTGGGCTACAGAATACATCCTTGGGCATGTACCTTTCAAACCTGTCCCATTTCTTTTCTGGAGGATAAATTCTTAGGATTTAGTATTTACACTGTAAGCCCCTGTCACATACTTTGTAATGAAAGGTAAAGAGATAGCAGACATTCGGTGTATCTTCTTGATTCCTGACACATAAATATTTTGCATTCATATAGAATATTACACAAATTATAAAAAGATACATTTTAAATTAAAGGCACCCTGACCAAAAAAGAAAATATTGACCAATGCCATTCTCCCATACGCCTTGGCATCTGTAATTTCCAACACTCTCCAGTGAGCTTGTCTACCTTGGTTTTCACAATAAGCATGCTAAATAAAGGGCACTGCTTGTAAGGATGAGTGGCAAACCGCTGCGTTGGATGGAGGTCTCTGGCTTTCAGAAGGACTCCTTGCCAACACGGTTGGTCTAGTTTAATGCACTGACTTTCCAAAATCCTTCACACTGTTCTCTTTTTGCTTATCACTACCAATTTTTATTTTGAATATTTCCATTGAACTCTAACAAAGATTTTTATTTATATGATGAAAAACCTGTGAACATTTGGCTTTTGTCTACTTTCCTTT